TGACTGATACTAATGATTTTGGACTTACTCAAAAAACTAAGAAAATAAAATAACAAAAATAATCTCTGCTAAAATGAGAATAGTATTTCAATGTTTTTATTAATCTTAGATGTATGTATGTAATTCAATTGCATGGAATTTTCTACCACTTGGTTTTCCTTGCAGGCTTCATATCATACCTGATCATATCATATCATACCTGATCATCAGTGCTTTTATATGGAGTGTAATATTCTATCATGTAAACTGTGATTATTCAACTTGATCAGCTGTTCTTATGTGAAGAAAGTCTCCATTCCAAATGAAAGACAAAAGATGGAATTTATTCTACAATAGCAAAGGGAAAATTTAATATTCAAAAAGTTTTGAAACACTTGACCATATAAATTGAATTACCTTCAAAATAAAGATTGGAAAAAAATGTATGCTATTTCTACTGCCTTGACTCTCTTTCTAGGTACTCACATTTCGCAAATCTGACTAAAATATAAGGTGCAGATAACAAATAAGCTTCTCTATGATTTCCTCTGATTTCCACTAGGCAAAGTTAGGTACTTTTCTCTTCACTTTTTCAGAAAACCATTTTTGGGCTTTAGTGCAGACATATATGACAAATCTGATAGTATTTGCTTAAATCTTCGGTGTGGACTACAGGAAGAGAACAGCTACTTATGCATTTTAGGAAGTACTTTAGTTTCCTAAGGTTACTGTGACAAGGTATCACAAAATGGGTGTCTCAGGACAGCAGAGTTTAGTTTCTCACAGTTCTGTAGGTTAAAAGTCCAAAATCAAGAGTTCAGAAAACCCATGACTCTTGTAGAATCTTTCCTTGTCTCTTAACCTATTTTCTGGTCATGGCCAGCAACTCTTGGCATTCCTGTCTTGCAGCTTCGTTACTTGTATCTCTGTTTAAATTTTCTGACACAGTTCTCCTTGTATGTTTCTGCCTCTTCAAATAGTGAACTCTTCCTGTGTCTTCACATCATTTTCTTATAAGGATACCTCACACAAAATGATATTGTTTTAGCTATTGTATTTGCAACAATTTTGTTTATTAAAAGGCTATATTCTGAGATACTAGTACTTAGGTCTTTGACATATTTTGGGGGACAGAGTTCTAACTATAAGAATCAGGAACATCAGGGCATATTTTGTTGAGGAGACAAAGTCAGACCTGGATGAGGAGGGCAATTATTTTTCATTCTCAGATATTGGTCCTATGGCTTAGAGTTTAGATTTGATTCTGGCCCCCATGATGACAGGAACTGCAGGTAGACAAGGAAGAGGAAATTCTTATGAGGGGGTACCAAGCAGAGATGGACTAAGAGTCTGCAGAGACAAAGACGGCTGGAGTTCTCAGGACAGAGTCTCTCAGGTCAGAGAGGAGAGAGTGGAAAGGAGTGGAAACACTGGAAATCAAAAGACAGCCCCCTTGAATATTCAGCTGAAAACTAGTCATCTCACATGTGGGAGAAAACTATCTAAAGCCAGAGAAGGAACCACATGGAATGATTACAGATAACAGTGCGCTACAAGAAATGTTGAAGTGCTGCCTTCAGGCAGAAAGAAAATGATAACACCTGGAAATAGGGGTTCAAGAGAGAATAAAAAGCTCTGGAAATAGCAACTACAAGAGTAAATACAGTATATAAGACTTGATAATTATTGTTTAGATTTCTTTAAAATATAATTGATCATTTACACAAACAATAACTATCTGTGGTATTTTCTGGTAAAGAAGGCATTCATTAAACACTTTTTGCTTTTAAGGGTCACAGTCTTGAGAAAATTGAGAAATTCTGAATAATGAAAAGAACATAGCTTTTAGCCTAAAAAACATCGAAGTAAGATGTGAATTCTGGTAGCAGATTCTCATTATACCGAGGGACTGATAGTCTTGGAAAAGTTTTTCTCTTACAGAATAGAATTTCCAAAAGGTTCTAATTCTCTGTCAACACCGAAACATCCCCTTAGACCCACTTAGGATAGCTTTGAAAAATGGAGAACAGCTTACTAATTAAAGTAGGCTTTAGTTGTTCTTTCAAAAGAGATCTTGTGGAAAGGTGTTTAGAAAGAACATTTTCTGGATACACTAAAGGATAATGAACTCAATGATAAGCCTTATGAACCTTTATTGAAATAACTTATAAAAGAACAGACAAAAATGAACTACTCAACTTTTAATAATTGATATTTACATACTATATATTTCATAAAAACAGATATTTATTTTATGAAATAAATTACTGTAAAGTTAAAAATCTCACCAAAAAGAGAAAAAGGAGGAAGAAGAGTGTAAGGGGAAAAGAGAAGGAAGAGAGAGAAGAGAAAGAAGAGAAGAGTAGAAGGAGGAATCAAAGTAAAATTATGAAAGAGCATGACTTCTGAGAGAGTTTTTACAAAGAGGCCTCCATTTTAAGATATTTCTATAGCACTGCTGTATTACTTTAGTCACATATTCAATTTATATTAGAAGCTTTTATGGAGAATTAAACTATTTCCATTTCTTATTTCCTGTTTGTACTTAGGAATGTAAATAACAATTCCACAGTAATTCTATACTAAGAAGAGTCAGATTTAGAAATATTCAACATTTGTTTCTGAAATTAATTCTGGAGTTTTATCAGTTTCAAGGCTTAAGATCGTCCAAGCAGTATTATATTTGAGAAGGGTAAATTGCAGTAGGAATGTGGCAGATGATAAAGCTGGGCAG